GGAAGTCCTAAGGTGACATAGAGGCTAAATAATCAAAGAGAGACACATTGTGGAACCAGAGATCCCTGTTAGGTGCTCCCCCAGTGCCCTGTGCGACCCCCCCCCCAACTAAAGCAAGTATCACACTGCACTGAAATATCTCTGTCTCTCCCCACCAGTGAGCTCCTTGAGGTAGGAGACCAGGTCTGGGTCCTCCTTTGTCCATAATGCCCATCATGGGTCCCGGTCCTCAGAAGGTGCTCCATAAATATTTGCAAGTGTATGAACGAGTATGTGGAAATGACCAAAGCCTCAAAACGAGGCCCACACCCACTGTCTTCTCTTTGTCCTCCATGGCTCTCACAAAGTTGCAGGCCTCTCTGGTGCAAGATCGCACCGTCTCCGTCCGGCCTTCCAGGAACAAGCGAGTCATGGTTGACTCATAAGTCAGGCAGAATTGACCCCTGTCCTGGGGGGGGGGGGGGGGCGGCAAGGAAGGGAGAAGCCTGTCAGCCGGGCTCTGGAAATCACAGACTTGACCCACCTCTGTGTGGACCTCCCGCCTCCTCCTGCCGGGACAATGTGTGGCTGGGGGAGAGAAATCAAGATGGCGGCCCCACAGTGGCCATGACCAAAAAAGCGTCACCAAAGGGGCTGACAAGGGAGGTCTTGGGGGCCCAGGGGAACCAAGGTCCCGAGAAGGGGTTGGGGTCGAGGAACCCAACTGACCCGGAAGTGGGCCAGCTGCAAGGCCATCTGGATGAAGCTGTCTGAAGAGAGGTGGCAGCGTTTGATGAAACTCTTGCCGAAGTGGGAGAAGGGGAAGACGTGGCAGTCAACGTTTCCGGACAAGGTCTTGGCTCCCCTCAGGGCTAGAGAGATGGACAGATGGATCTGCCAGAGGAGGAAGGAGGGAGGGATGGCTGGGGTTACAGATGGGGTAGGGTTAGAACTGGGAGTGGGGAGGGAAGTGAAGGTGGAAATCGAGTCAGGGTAGGGGTGGAATGTGGAAATGGGGACAGAGGCGAACGTGGAGCTGAAGGGCTGGATTAATGATGGGGGGTGGGACTGAGGTTGGGCTGAAGACCGAATTGGGTCGGGGATGGGGTTGGGGTTTCAGGTGGGGAGGACTGGATTGGGCTGGGATTGGAGATGGGGCCGGGGTGGGATTGAGTTTGGGGATGGGGATGAAATTAGAGTCAAAGCCAGGGGGTTGCAGACTTGGAGGAGAGGCCCGGGAGCCCAGTCTCACCTTTTCTGGAAGGTCCCAGTGCAGCCGCTGGGGCTGGGGCAGTGAGGGATCAGGATGCCCTTTGCAGTGGCCGTCGGCTGAGTAGCCCAGCTGAAAACATTCTGTGGCCAGAGTGAACTGTGTACAAACAGAGGCTGTCAGAGTCCCTTCCTCCCTCTGGATTGAGGGCTCTCTAACCAGGGACTTGCTTTCGTAAGTCCCTTCTGGGGGTTGGGGGGGGGGCAGTCGTTGAGAAACAGAAACCTCTGATGTTCACAGGTGGGTTCTCAGGTTCAAGTTCATTGAGAGTAAGTCCGATACTAATACTCAGCTGGTGCCTACTGGCCTTTTACTTCTGACTAGTAGACAAAAAGCCACCAACGGTGGCCCCCGACTTCCCAAGACACCCCCTACCCTCACCCCCACCAGGATCCTGAGACCAGAGAGATAAAGCCCAGCACAGCATGGGCCGCCAAGGGGGTCGGTGTCCATTCTGACTGAGTGGTGCCCACGCCCTGATGGTTGTTAAATTTTATTTTATTTTATTTTTTATTTAGTTTTGTTTTTGTTGTTAAACATTTTAAATCAGCCCTGGTCGAGCACCTGCTACCCACCAGCCTTTCCCTTATTCTCACGATAACTTAGGGAGACGGGATAAAGATCCCCATTTCCGCATTAGAAACAAACATCAAGAAACACTTTATGCCTTGGAGTTTCCACGTATCTTTATCATACTCTATGTGACATCTCTTCACTCAAAGTTGATGCGCAGAGACCACAGGTTGATATGAAGGGTCTGAAAGTTAAACTGAATTGACAGTTTCATCGGCCAATATCATCAAAGGGGGAAAACTCCCATCTTACAAATGCGAAACAGGTACAGAAGAGTCCATGCTTACCCAGGGCTGTTCCTAAGATCTGAAAGGGGCCTCCCTTCCCCTCAAACATGCTGGATCCCACCCTGGGCCTCACCCAGTACCTCATGCAATGCTATGGAAGAGTGGGAACCTGAGAGGGTGTAGACGGCACCTGCTATGATTTAGGGACTAAGAAAAAAGAGAAAATAGAGGGGTGCTTGGGTGGCTCAGTCAGTGAAGCACCCGACTCTTGGTTTCGGCCCAGATCATGATACCACATTTCGTGAATTCAAGCCCCGCATCGGGTTCTGCATTGACAGGGTGGAGCCTGCTTGGGAGTCTCTCTCTCTCCCTCTCTCTCTGCTCCTCCCTGCTCTCTCTCTCAAAATAAATAAATGAACTTTAAAAACAAATGTAAAAAAAAAAAAAAAG